GTGGTTACGGGTCCCTGTGCCCAGGCAGGCGACGTGGGCTGGAACCAATTTTCACTCGTTCCCATGCTTCTCCTGCTGGGCTCTCTGCCTTGCTTCCTGCTGGAGCCAGGGGAGCCGCAGTCGGCAGGCAGAGAGCCCAGGGCACCCGCTGCATCTAAAGGACGGGAGCCCAAACCTTCTGCCTAGCAGCTGGGGTCAAACAGGAGGGGTCCGTTTGCATTCCGGCCAGGCGCTAACGGCACCGGGCTTGGGGCGGCAGGGCTGATGCGGCGCCGTGCTCCGGTAGTCGTGTCGGGTGCTGCACAGACCGGCTGGCTGGGTTCAGAGAAGCTGTAGGGCAGGGGTGGGGAACCTAAGGCTTGGGGGCAAGATGTGGCCTCCGGCTTGCCAGACCCCCTCCCCCCCCAGCACTGGGGAACCAAGCTGGGGCTTCTTGTGTGCATCCCCCAACTGAGTTTTCTATAGGGCAGCCCCTCAACCGGTTCCCCACCCCTGCCGTAGGGAGCCACTGCTGCCTCCCCGGTCTTCGCCCTCTTCCTGCTCGGGGCCTCTAGAGGCGGGATCCCCGCCCGGTGTCCCGCGGCCGCCTACTCACTTCAGCGCGGGGAGGATTTCGTCGTTCTCGCCAGGCTCTTGCTTGCCAAACTGGTTGCTCGGGAAGCCCAGGACGGTGAGGCCGTAGGGCGCCAGCTCCGTGTGTAGTGCATTCAGTTCTGCGCACGAGAAAACCCAGCCCCGAGGGCCAGTGACGGCAGGTGATGGGAGCTGCTCCCCGGTGCCCGAGCGGCGCGCGTGGTCACCCGGCAGCCAGGGGAGTGCCAGGCGGCCCCCATTTGGGAGGAGCCAGGCCCGGCTGGGAAAGCGGAGGGAGGGCTCCGGGTCTGTGCGGCTCCCAGGACGGGGAGGCCGGGCTCGGTCCCCCTCTCTCAGAGGTGGGGGCAGAAAGCCTGGTGGTCTCCGTCGGCCCTCGTGAGCGCTATGCCATCGCCTCAGCCCTCCTAGCACCGGCTCACCTCGCACGGCTCCCTAAGGCCACTGGCGAGCCGGGCCCTGGCTGTGCGAAAATCCCTGCTCGAGCTTTCCCCCGGCCTCCATTGTGGCCACAGAGACTCGCTGGAGCCCAGGCAGGCCCTGCCCAAGTCACCTCGGCTACAGCTGCCTTGAGGTGACCCCTGCACCGGCATCGTTTGCCTCAGCAAGTGACGCTCTGCCCACCCGCCTGTAGCCACGTCCCCTTCCCCCTCACAACCTTCCTTCTCTCGGCGGCCTTCACCAGGCCCCGCAGGGGTGGGGGGGCTAACAGACTCCAGCGCAGGGCTGGGCAGTAATTTTTGATGGGGGGGGGCACTCCAAGAATTTGGAAAGTGGCAGAGGGCTGCACTCGTCCGTGGTATTAACGGAGGAGGGGTGGGGCCTGGCATGGAGGTTGGGTGCAGAAGGGAGCTTGGCATCAGGGAGAGAGTTTGGGTGTGAGCTGGGGCACTGGACTGAGGTGCAGGGGGTTGGGTTGTGACCTAGGGCACAAGGGGACTGGGATCTGGGGCAGGGGATTGGGGTGCCAGATCTCAGAGGGGATATGGGTGCAGGAGGGGGGCAGAGGATTTGGGTATGTGGAATAGGGGGCAGGAGTGGGGGGCAGACGGTTGGGGGAGGGGGGGGCAGTTTGGGTGTGAGCTGGGGCACTGGACTGAGGTGCAGGGGGTTGGGTTGTGACCTAGGGCACAAGGGGACTGGGATCTGGGGCAGGGGATTGGGGTGCCAGATCTCAGAGGGGATATGGGTGCAGGAGGGGGGCAGAGGATTTGGGTATGTGGAATAGGGGGCAGGAGTGGGGGGCAGACGGTTGGGGGAGGGGGGGGCTGGGGG